AGGAAGCTGTGGTACATATACACCATGGAATATTACTCAGCCATTAAAAAGAATTCATTTGAATCAGTTCTAATGAGATGGATGAAACTGGAGCCCATTATACAGAGTGAAGTAAGCCAGAAAGATAAAGACCAATACAGTATACTAACGCATATATATGGAATCTTAAAAGATGGTAACGATAACCCTATATGCAAAACAGAAAAAGAGACACAGATGTACACAGCAGACTTTTGGACTCTGTGGGAGAAAGTGAGGGTGAGATGTTCTGAGAGAATAGCATTGAAACAAGTATACTATCAAGGGTGAAACAAATCATAAGCCCAGGTTGGATGCATGAGACAAGTGCTCAGGGCTGGTGCACTGGGAACACCCAGAGGGATAGGATGGGAAGGGAGGTGGGAAGGGGGATCGGGTTGGGGAACACATGTAAATCCATGGCTGATTCATGTCAATGTGTGGCAAAAACCACTACAATATTGTAAAGTAATTAGCCTCCAATTAATAATAATAATAATAAAAAGAATGCAGAACCGTATCACTACTAAGACTGCCCAGAGCTGCTGTGAACATCCAAAAAGTTTTACTTTAAGAGTTCTTTAGAGGGCTTCCCTGGTGATCCAGTGGCTACTCCCAAAGCAGGGGCCTGGGTTCAATCTCTGGTCAGTGAACTAGATTTCATACACTGCAAGTAAGAGCTTGCATGCCACAATTAAAGATCCCATGTGTGGCAATTAAGACCTAGTGCAGCTAAAAAAAAAAAAAAAGAAAAGAAAAAAGGAACTAAAAGTTCTTTATAAAATGCTATAAAATTCTATGAATGATTGCTTCTACTAAGCAAATAGTAAAAAAAATATGTGTGTTAGTTGCTCAGTTGTGTTGTGCTAAAACACAGTTTGTGCTTAAACTCAGTTGCTCTTTGTGACTCCATGGACTATAGCCTTCCAAGTTCCTCTGTTCATGGAGTTCTCTAGGCAAGAATACTGGAATAGGTTGCCATTTCCTTCTCTAGGGGGTCTTCTCAACCCAGGGGCTGAACCCAGGTCTCCTGCACTGCAGGCAGATTCTTTGCCACCTGAGCCACCAGGGAAGCCCAAGAAATATGTAGATTGGAATTCTATTAATAAAAACAGGTGTCATTAGAAAGAAAATAATCTACTAGGTTAATTTATTTTTATTATTGTGATCCTCCTTGGGAATTAAAAATAGAGTGCTTCTGGAGAAACTGACAAAGCTGTGATTTATCTTAATAAAAGACTTCTTATGGAGACCTTGAAACCTGGTTCCTGAAAGAAATGAGTTATAAATATATTTCTTAAGCCTGATGGCAAAGTTCCTAATGACAGAATTCATCTCCTATGCAGCTGAATGAATCCCTGTTTTTAAACAACAGAACGAAACAAATCGTTGAGTGCAGCAGCTATGAGATTACTGTTACAGCTCACGGTAAGGCATGGTGGATCAAAGTTAACTTTTTTTTTTTTTAAGCAGTTAGTGAATATCCAGTAGATCCTCTCTTAAATTTACTTGGGACTCTTTAAGGCATTTTGTAATATTTAAAAAAAATCTACTTCACAAGTATTTAGACCACCAAAGCATCTTAATTTTCTTACTATCTTATTTTCTAAGTATCACAGAGAGCTCAGTCTAATACAAACATTTTAAGTTTTACACAGAAAACAAGTGTGGCCACTCCTACAGCAGGAGAACTAGAGAGTATGGTCAGGATGCCTGAGTCGGCGCAGGGCTGAGGGCCCTGAAACCCAGGCAAGAGTCACAGGTGTGCGCAGATGCCAAGGATGCTGCCCCAGCTCAGGGTTCAGGGCAACGGTGCCCTGAGAGGTTTCAAAGAGAAATCTTAGTTTTCCATAATTTCCTTAGAAGGGGAAATGGGGCTGAGAGCAAGGACTCATTGCCCTAGGACTCCCCACAGAGGCCGGAGCTTCCTCCACCCTACTGGTTCAGGCTCTGGATATGAATGGATGGGGCAAGTGGTTCCTGTGTCCCCAGACTCTTGGCTGCACACATGGCTGAGCTAGGAGCTGGGCCCTGGGCACCAGACGGCTGAGAGGATTCTCAAAGTCAGGTGCAGAGGAATTTCGGAAAAGCAGCTCCCGGGCCAGGTGGCTCTGTTCCAGGTCAGTCCTCGGGATGTGCTTGCTTGGAAGCAGATGTAGGCACTTGTGGGCAGCTCTGTGAGCAGGCCCATCTATCCTAAGCCTCCTAGCAAATGCTGCTCCTAAATGCCGGTTCTCTTTCAACAAAACTCTGACAAGACTTTTCCCCCACACTTTAGGCAGGAAAAAAGAACATGTCCCTGGAGGTGAGCTGGCAGAAGTAAGAGGAAAAATACTGAGGGAAGCGGGGATGGAGAGGCCCCAGTCCCCTCCTGCTCAGGCCTTCCTCTGGGCACTGGGGCTAGTCCATGAGCTCCAAGGGCGAGCCTGCTGATAACCCCCTTGCCTTCTGCCTCACCCCTCAGTCAATGATTCCTAAACTTTCTTAAACTGAGTAGGAAAAAGAAGTTCATTACATAACTAGATACTAAGTGAATATGCACAGTGGTGATAACATTTCAAGTAACAAACAAAAATGACCTATGTCCAATTTGGAAAGGAGAAGGGAATAGGACCTCCTTCACAAAGGGCTTCTCTGATAGCTCAGTTGGTAAAGAATCCGCCTGCAATGCAGGAGACCCCGCTTTGATTCCTGGGTTGAGAAGACCCACTGAAGAAGGGATAGGCCACCCACTCCAGTATTCTTGGGTTTCCCTTGTGGCTGAGCTGGTAAAGAATCCGCTTGCAATGCAGAAGACCTGGGTTCGATCCCTGGGTTGGGAAGATCCTGTGAAGAAGGGAAAGGCAACCCACTCCAGTATTCTGGCCTGGAGAATTCCATGGACTAGTCCATGGGGTCACAAGGAGTTGGACACGACTGAGCAGTTTCAGTTCACTACACAAAGAGAGAAAGCAGCCTGGCAAGCAAGGAAGAAGCCAGGGCTTGGCACTTGAGTTTAACTTCCAGTGATGATGGGGGTCTGTGGATGGTGTACAAAGATATAACTATTGCAAGATGCATGAAGATGATTTCTTTCTAATGTGGCTGTGCCCTTGATTAAGCGCATTCCTTAATCAGGACTTTACCTTGTTAGTCAGTCTCCCAAAAGAAACAAAAGCCACAGACACAC